AGTAAGAATATATATAGAAAATAAAAACACTCCCTAGAATTCAGTGATAATTTAAATATGTATTTAAACAGAATTTCCAAAAGTTAGCATTTAGTGTGATGATCAGTTTGATAATCTGGCTTTTACTTTATAGTTGTTTATATTGTAAGTTCGCTGTGACATCTAATAAGTATAATATATTATGGTACGATACAGGTATATCGAGCATCCAGACACCGTTCTCTATCATTATTATAAGATAAAAATTAAAAGAAGAAATTATAAGAAGAAAAGAATATTTATTTAAAAAAATATAATGAAAAAGACGGCAATCTTTTTCGTTATCATTGCCATCACAATTGGCTTATTAGATTTGTATCTACCAAACAACACTCTTTATGGCGACGACACGGGAGGATCAAGATTAATGAATATACTAAAGCTGATTAAAGGAGTCACGGATTTCTTCATACAGAGCCGACGTTATTTAGCCGAACAAGTACCGGACACAACACCGCAATCTGGAGATACGTTTGATTTTATAGTGATTGGCGCTGGTACAGCCGGCGCGACTATAGCTGCGAGATTGAGCAAGATTCCTCAGATTGAAGTGCTACTGATCGAAGATGGAACACATGAAAGCTTGTACATGGATATCCCGTTTATTTCTGCTTTATTGCAAAAGACCAAGATAAATCGAAGCTATCAAACGAAGCCATCCAATAAGTATTGTCTAGGCATGGAAGGCAATAACTGCATTTGTCCAACAGCAAAAGTTATTGGCGGAAGTAGCGTACTAAATTTTATGATTGCTACTAGAGGAAACGCGAAGGATTACGATCGCTGGGCCGAGATGGGAAACGAGGGCTGGGCATACAAAGACGTCCTCAAGTATTTTAAAAAATTAGAAACAATGGATATCCCGGAACTGAAGTCGGATATTGCCTATCATGGTACCAATGGACCAGTACATATCACCCAACCAGAATTTCGCACGGGCGTGGTAAAAGCATTTATACAAGCTAGCAAGGAAATGGGATATCCAATAGTAGATTACAACGGAGAGGAGGAAATAGGATTCTCATATGTGCAGACTACAATCATGAACGGTACCCGCATGAGCAGCAACAGAGCGTATCTAAATCCTGCGCGCGATCGCAACAATCTTCATGTAACTCTTGAGAGTACGGCGACAAAACTATTGATCGATTCTAGTACAAAACGAGTAATCGGCGTAGAGTTTGTTAAGCACAATCAAACTACACGTGTGTTTGCGAACAAAGAAGTGATCGTATGTGCAGGTGCGATTAGATCAGCTCAATTATTGATGTTGTCCGGCATTGGACCAATGAAACATCTTATCGAATTAGGTATAAACGTCGTCCAAGATGCACCAGTCGGTGAGAATTTTATGGATCATATAGCCTTCTACGGATTAACGTGGACAATAAATACATCGACAAGTTTATTACCAAGTGAACAGTTAAACCCTTTTAATCCGTATATAACCGATTTTTTACTAAAGCGAACAGGACCGTTGACGCTCCCGGGTGGAGCAGAAGCCATTGGTTTCGTTAATACAAAACACCCAAAAAAACGTAACGGTTTACCAGATATCGAATTACTGTTTGCCGGTGCTACATTTAAAGAAGATTATATTTTTCCAGACATGTTACGTTTAAAAAAATCTATGCGTCAGGAATGGAGTAAATATATTGGTACATATGGTTGGTGCCTTGCACCAATATTGATGAAACCAAAAAGTCGTGGTCGAATAACGTTATTGGCTAATGACGTTAATGTTAAACCAGAGATTACGCTGAATTATTTTAATGATCCAAATGATATGGAGACAATGATCGCAGGTCTTAGAACTGCATTAAGTATTGGCCAAACAAAGGCGATGCAGGCCTTAAATTCTCAGTTGTTAAACATTACTTATACTGAATGCGATGACTATGAGTATGATTCCAATGCTTATTGGGAATGCGTATTAAGGATCATGACTTCCACGGTTTTTCACTTTTCCGGAACTTGTAAAATGGGAGCAAAGGGAGATCCTACCGCTGTCGTTGATCCTAAATTAAAGGTATGCCTGGAAAAACACACTGAACTATTTACTATAATAAAAATATTATAAGTAGTGTGCCATATAAGTGTATATTTTTAATTTGTCATTTTATATACAATGTTTATGTATAATGTATTGCAGGTGATCGGTATTCAAGGATTACGAGTAGCAGATGCGTCTATTATGCCCGAAATTATATCGGGGCACTTAAACATACCTGTTTATATGATCGCTGAAAAAGCTGCGGATATGATCAAGGAAGAATGGGGTTACTTGGAAAAATCACGATAGAAATCAATTTTCGTTTTTTATCGTATTTATTACAATATATTG